CACATGCAACTCTCTTGATTATGCTTTTCTGGTTAATACACGTGATATTTGGAGCCTGCTACGTTGGTAAGGTACTACCTTACCTCTTTGAGCGCACACTCTTTGCCCCTCCTGAGATATTCCTAGTATGGAAAGGCAGGTGCATGACTACCCGAGGAGTTCAATGGCATACCACCACCCCCTGACCGCCAGACCGGGAAGTCACGGCCACCCTTCTCTTATGAAAACCACCCGGGCCGTACCAGCCAGGGACCTCACCAAAGTATTTGCAAGATCCAGCCACATTCCATGTGGGCTTGCTTGGTCGCGATTTTTTTCCTGTGCTCGGTCAACTCTTGCTCCCCATTCTCCGCCCAAATCGGCGGAAGTGCAACTCGGACAGTGATACCATCAAACCACACCACCTTCAGTCAGCTAGCAGTCACAGTCCCAATGCACCAACTAATTCCCTTACTTCCCCATCTGTGCTGCAACAAGACCTCTCTCGGCTACTACGCACCAACAATATCACAAAAACGCACTGAAGCTTCATTCTGCCCGTCTCACCTCTGTTTCTCTCGTTAGAACGACCATTTCCTGCCGCCGCACTCCATATATCGACCCGTGGATCGTCCTAGTTCGGGCCGCCGCGTCACCGACTACTCGGGTGTAGCCATCAGAGAAATATAAACCCGACCAGGTCCCTCAATTCAACACATCCCTTCGACTGCGACACCGATCCAGCCGTATTGACGACACGATAGCGTTTTGTACCATTTGTATGACCTCCAGGTATCTCCACCTACCTAGCCCTTCTGATGGCCACTTGGTCTTGACAGGCCGCTAATGTCTGGGGCGAATATACAGTCCCCGATTGACGACATTCCCACTCCATTCCCTCGGCCCGCATCGATTACAGCCGCCAGCATGACCGGCGTCGCCGTCCTCGCATCGAGAATTTTGAAACTACAATATCTCGCTCTTCCTCGTCCCTCTGGCAGTGCAAATCTGGCGGTCAAGGCCACGTTTGTCCGCTTCCTGCAGCGGTCTCCCGACTCGCTCTCGGCGACATCTAGAATATTTCGGCTTCAACCTTGGTACTCCTTTCATTTCTCTACACATTTGTCTTGAGCTAAATGTTACTGGAGCGTTGCCGAATATGACCTGAAGTGTGCAGCAAGCAACCGGCCGCTTCGAGTACCTCATACCTAAGGTACTTACTTTGTCCAGCACTGAGATAGCCACTTGCCCGGCACCGCTAACTAGGCAAATCCAGTGCTGATGGCCCCGGTACTGTCGGTCGAACATAGGTAGCTACCTACGACATCGGGCCTATGGCTCTGATTGACTGTCATCGAGCCAACCTCCGTCGCCGAGGCCGCTCCCGGATATAGCTCCGGATAGGATTGATGCCCCTCGGACAGTATCGCCATCATAGAGACCCTGATCGCTGTACTTTCTATGGGTCCTCAACTCCTCGATCATCGTGTTGCCGTCAAAAATACCCTGGGCGCCATTGCCATCGCCGTTATCGTCGTCATCATCATCGCCGTCGCCGCTGTCGCCTCTGTCGCAGCTGTCGCCGGGCAGTTCATGCACGAAGTGTTTGTTGGGTCAGTATTCTCCTTACCTCGCTGTCAGTGTGTGTGTGTCTGCGTCCGTGTCTGCGAATGTGCCTTTTTCTATATTTGCAAAGGCTTCTATTGCAGTTCTTCAATCTCTCTTAGAAATTCGCTCCTCTTGACTGCGAGGCTCCATTCTTTGCAATTCAAGGGTCCATTATTCTCGACTTTACGGCTTTGCGGCCATGATATCCGGTCGAACTGCACCAGTCGGCCGACGTGGGCCGTCCGTCTCCAAGGCAGACGCTACTTGGAAGGCTTTAGATGCTTGGGTGCTGGAATTGAGGTAAGCCGAGCGGGCTTCGAATTGAGGGCTGACCTGACATCTTGGTGCCAATAGGCCGGGAACAACTATACCCATCGGGCGTGGCGCGTCTAGAGACAGCACAAGTCCGGATATGCCGTTCCCTGGGGTATCTCGAAAGACAGTATGGAGGTAACCCCTTGGAGAATCACCGACCTACGGCTTCTTCGGCGTCCCCCTGGTTCCCTTCTCAACCTCAACGAGCGTATAGAGAACAAGTCAATAATCGTCGCAGCTGATGTCATTCCGCCCAGAGGCCGTGACTTGTGTCCGTGGACGGGCTAACTGCAATCCCACCGCCCAGGCTATCCTGCACACCATGCCAGACTTCATTGTTGAGAAGGTACAGCGCCAGGAGAACAGGCCGGCCGGCAATTCAGAGAATCGTGGTCACAGACCTCTCCAGCATCTTGCCCAATCGATAACGGACCTACTTTACCCATAACAAGATGCGACAAGAGCTGTGAGGCCGCTAGTCTCACTGGGTCCTGGAGCCACGCTAACGGTAATTCCAAAGGAACGCGGATATGATTTCACCACTTATGAAGCGTTTCGGCTCGAGGGTATAGGTTTCTAAGAGTGAAGAACGCAGAGGGTTTAGGATCCTGGGACCTTGATGTTTCCGTCATTCCACTGAGAACAATGATAAGCAAGAATACAAGTTGTATTGTATGTTAGTTGTAGTGCAGCCTACGATAGGAAGCTCAGTGTTGATGCTACTCCCATGTTCCCTTCCCTCAAAGTGTGTAAAGGTGAATAGTTCTGGGGGCTTATTTCCCGCCAAGGTCTTCTATTCTTTATCCTAAGGTAACGAAATTACTAGGACAATCTGGCATGCAAGATAGCCCGGCGACAGTAGATAAAATTACACTCTATTCCCTCTGCAATCCTCGTTGACGTAGTATAAAGCTTGCTCTGTTCTGACCCTCCTAACTCCCTCTTGGGGTGTGATTGGGCTTCTCGAAACCCTGTTGGGTCTCCTATCTTGTATCAGGTGTTGCTAGCTTGCTTCAGGAATCTTGTTGCAAACAGGTTTTGTCCTTTGCTTACATGTCAACCCTTCGAAAAATCGAGGCGCTGAACCGAGGCCGAAGTCATGCATCTTCACCCTTGATTGAGCTGAGTAGAAAGAGATAGGAACAAATCACCTCACTTGCAAGTCAATGAGAATCAAAGCAAACAGAAAGAGAAGTGCGCTCGGCGCATGATAAAATTATAAGGATACAGGCAACTGGTGACCTTTCCTCGCCCACCTAAAGTACTACTAGCCATTGAATAATGATGCTATGTCCAATCCACGGTACTCAAGCCCCTCCACTACCTTCATTATCATTTCCTTGAGCTTGGGCTGCCTCTCCCGATATAACACGGTGGCGTACCGGCCCGCAAACGGTTTGGAGAAGCTGGCGGCCAACCAGATCATTCCGCATATCGCATTGTAGCAGGGCCGCCTGAAACCCCGCACGCAAGGTATCTGCCTCGCGCCGGGCATCCATGTTCTTGACGGTCTCAGCCGCCAACAGCCTATCAGCCTGCCGTTTGGCAGCCTTCAACTCGTTAGCACGCTTGTGCTTCCACACCGCGACAACGACGCTAATCAGCGTGCATAGAAGTGTCACGCCCGTTCCAGCCTAGCTCGCGATAGTACCATGATCGACATGGTCAGGACAATGCGACATCTGTGTGACCGTGACTACCTGCAACACAGTCACAGTGGCAGTCGCAATATCTAGCAGAACGGGCGACATAATGCTGGCGTGTCGGGTTGGTGTCGAGTCGGTGTCAGGTCGTTATCTTGGTGAAATCCCTAAAGGCTCAGCTGTCAGTGTGCGTGTAATGTGTCTGCGGGAAACCCTTCAAAAACGCCCGTGCAAACCTGCGGGGACCAGCCAATTCTTATGGCTGGTCGGGCGCTCCTCGGGAAGCAGTGTCGTTGCTGCCCCTTCGCTACATCCCTTCATTTTGGGAAGCTGGGCATTGTTGAGGTAAGAACCAGAGTTGATATCCCATGAGGAAAGAGCAGAATAACATCCCCACATCAGCACATCAGCCTACTAGCGGGCCGACTTGGCGCGGCGGCGGTGATCGTTCAAAGGGAATTAAGGCCTATGTCGCGTTAGTTCCCACCAACCCACAACACTGTACTGACGTCAAGATAGCACACGCTCAGCGCCCATGTGCACTGGCTGGATCTGCTACGTAGCTCCAATATCGCGGTAATTAACCACGTTCTGCTAACCGGGTCTCCAACAGCTGCCGGCTCTGTCCAGATTGTGAATCCATGTGACGAAGTCTGTTCACATCAGCAAGTACCCCGAGAGCCCGATGCCGGGGAGGATTTGGGCCATGGGGAAAAGGAATTTGCGGCGACGTACCTGGACCGCCAGGGTCAGTGAGATGGCGTCGTCGGATGGAGGATCGACGATGGTTGTGAATGAGGACTGGGCGTTGGAGGCAGCGAGCGAGAGGGTGTAGATGATATCCCGTGGGCCAGTGAGGCCTCACGTCTCTTGGTTTGTTCTCGGGGTACAAGGTTATGTTCTATGGAGGATACCAGGAAACGAAAGTCATGGGCACATGTTGTTATGACTCGGCAGTTGTCTGGCTGTAGCTCGAGACAGGGGCTCAGATATTGCGTTCTCGACAGCCCGGGTCTGCGAGGTCAATTACAAGATGTACTATTGACAGCCCAGGAGACGATGTAGGTGAAATTAGTGGTATGTCTCAAGCGACAGCTACTTATTTACTTACATTGCCCTGGACTCAAACGAACAAAAGATGATAAAAAAGGGGATAAGGGGTCTGCCTGGTTGGGGCTGGGGTTAATTCAAAGTCTTAGAACATCATAGAGCTTGAAGCACTGGAGCAGATATCTGCTTCTTCTCCTGTTCCTGACTTCTCCCTTGCTTCCTGGCTTGATCTGGAACTTCTAAATGACATGGGTCCTATGACTGGTTCCTCCTCTAACCCCAGGTAAACACCCTTACTTTCCTAATAGTATAAGGAAAAAATAGAAATTCATATACTAATGCCTTATGTCTAGGCATGTCAGGTCTTCATAGGTCATCACAACCCAGGCCACTTTTAACAATCTTATCCCTGTGGTATAATGGTAGTATACTTTACTCTTATGGATTGGGTAACTTATGTATATCTGATGTAGCAAGTTATCTGACCTAGTATTAAAGAGGTTGAGGGTTTAATTCCTCCTAGGGGCATTTTTCTTTTTTAGTTTGTTAGGATTTAGGCAGTAGAAGTCCTTGACTAACTATAGACATAAAAGTCCTGTATATGGTTCCTAAGAGTTATCTATAGGTCCATAGCCAAGCCACTTGACTAGGTACTGTAATACTCTTTTCTTAAATCATAAATCTAGAACTTCCTCTACTTCAAACTCTTCTTTATCTGCTTCTACTTCCAGGGTTTTTTCTAGTGGGACATTCTTTGGTACTAGTTTCAGTAATAATATATAAAAGACTCTGGTCCTAACCCTTATGGTCTTTGGTAGGTCTAGCTTATAGTTTGTTATTACTACCTTCTTCTTGATCCAGAATGGTCTATACCTTTTAAAATCAAGCTTCCTACTCTGGAGGTTGGGAAGTCTGGGGGTCCCGGTGCTGGTGGAAGGGGATGATGTGCTTTTTGACACGCCTGACGTGGTGGTGGATTTGGCTTGGTATGGGGTGCAGACCTGATTCCTTGTAAGTCCTACCTCTGTGTTGTCCTTGCTGTATCCTACCCTCTCTACTCCCTATCCTGCAAAGAAATTTCAGATCTGACAGGCACATAGGTAGGAGAGTCTGAGTTGGAGTCAGAAGTTGTGTGCCTTTCTTCCCTGACTGTCAGGGGGCACTTTAACGTATGATTTTCCTAGACTTTTAGTCTGGTTGTTGCAAGTCGGCCCATGAGCCTAAGGCTAACCAACTATGGTGTGCTCTTGGTGGAAAGAATGACCTGAGGCTATTAAACTGATATCAGACTGAGGTCAGGTGTCCTTTTATGGTCAATAGCTTGGGGATTTGATATTATAGGAGGTAATGAGAGGGTTGAGAGTTACTATATTAGATGAAGTGATAGAGGTGTTTGTACCTAGGGTTCTGAAGTATATAATGCCTAAATAGCTCCCTCTGTTGATGCGTATTGTGCCCATTCTGAAGCAGAGCATGAGTCACAGATTACCATTCACAAAGACTTGGAAAGAATATGTCAAAGACAGGATCCAAGAGCCTAGTAAAGATCGCCAGTGGACTGACTTCTTCAATACTTTTATGCCAGAGAAGGATGAAGCAGTGGAAGAAGGAGATTATGATCACCATACATTACACTTAGTAATTGCAGCTGCAGTCCACCAAAGAGGAACAGAGCGCCTGGGAGCAGCACTAGGCGGGTGCTGGAAGCAGCAACAGGCACAGGCATAGGCGCATGCACCAGGTTCCAAGTGCTCTTTATACCTCTTGCGCTTCTCGCTGGTGAGCCTGTTGGAGATGAGATACTTCCACTGTTCCCTCATGTGCTGGTCGTATTTGGCGATGCGCTCGGCGTAGTGTGTGCTACACGCGTACTAGATCGTGATGACGTCGGTCTTGTTTGTGTTGCCTGGAGTCATTGTGCAGTAGCCTTCATTGCACACGCGAGTGTATATGCCCTCTGGGCAAGCCCCTTTGCAGGGATCTTTGCGGTGTGATGGGTCCTGGCAGCTGAACCAGAGCTTAGTGTAATAATTACACATTGTTACTGGTCAGGTAGTGGTGCGTTTTCCAAGACGGATAGGGGTATGTCGAGTCAATGAGGCAACGCGCAGTGGGATCCCAGTGATCAAGGTCTGGTATCTGGCAGATGTTGAGAATGATACTCTGGGGGTATTCAGCACCAATTGCAATGATGGCTCTTCCAACTTCTTTCCAAGTCTTTACGAATGGTAATCTGCGACTCATGCTCTGCTTCAGAATGGGCACAATATGTATCAATGGAGGGAGCTATTTGGGCATTATATACTTCAGAACCCTGGGTACAAACACCTCCATCACTTTGTCTAATGTGGTGACTCTTAACCCTCTTGTTGCCTCCTGTAGTGTCAAATCCCTGAGCTGTTGACCATAAAAGGACACCTGACCTCAGTCTGATATCAGTTTGATAGCCTCAGGTCATTCTTTCCACTGAGAGTGCACTATAGTTGGTTAGCCTTAGGCTCATGGGCCGACTTGTAATGACTAGACTGAAAGTCTAGGAAAATTGTATGTTAAAGTGCCCCCTGACAGTCAGGGAAGAAAGGCATATGACTTCTGACTCCGACTTGGACTCTCCTACCTGTGTGCCTGTCAGATCTGAAATTTCTTTGTGGGATAGGGAGTGGAGAGGGTAGGATACAGCAAGGACAACATAGAGGTAGGACTTATGAGGAATCAGGTCTGCACCCCATACCAAGCCAAATCCACCACCATGTCAGGCGTGTCAAAAAGCACATCATCCCCTTCCACCAGCACCGGGACCCCCAGACTTCCCAACCTCCAGTCATACACTTCACCCTCCCCCTTTGCATGAAGCAGTGCCATCCTTAGCAGGTGCAGCTTGTCATCTGCCTGCCTCCTCTTAGTAAGCCTGCCCTCCTTCCTCTTTATCCTCGTCACACAAGCAACCAGCCGCTCCAGCACCAGATCCGTCAGCATGAGCGCAACACTAGCGCACACAATTATGAGAACACCGGCAAAGTTGAAGTTCTGCACCTCTCCCTGGCTCTGCACCAGTTGGTTCCGGCACTGGCGCTGCAGCTCCTCCTTCACTGGGTTCGTGCCTGGAAAGTCTGTGTCGTTGTACACCGACCGGACGCGGCCCAGTAAGCCCAATCCGTTGCCATCGACGAGGGTCCTTGTGTTGGACGCGTAGCCGAGCACATCGGCCTGCAGCTTAGCGAGCAGCGTCTGGAACCACCCGAGAACCTCGGTCTGCCACTGCGTGTCGGGCAGGCCCGGCGCGATGTTGCCAAAGGCGAGATTGTTCGCCCATAGCGAGCCGACGCCGAGGGAGGTCACGATGCGATAGACGTTGGTGCCTGTGGAGAGAGCAAGTAGCAGCCGGCTTGCTGTTGCGAGTTGGGCGGGGTTGTACTCTGGGATGTTGCGCTTCATGATGGATTCGCTGACCAAAGAGAAGCCGCCCCATTCTGTGCAGGCCGAACTGGTGGGGTTGCACATGCGATATTGCTCTGCGCAGCCCATGACCGTTACCGTGCGGTCGGACTTCGAGATGTTATGGGTGCCGAGGTCGACCGAACGATTCCCGCTGGCGGAGAACCATGGGTCCAGCACGGGGGTAAGATAGCCGAGCTGGTTTTGGCTGAGAAAGAAGACGCTGACGTCGGCATCTCGCCGGTCCAGATCGGCGATCGGTTCCCATGGCGTCTCGTCCCCGAGTCTCGAGCTGTTTTTGACCGAGAGCCCTGGCGCTGGGGCCCATATGCCTCTGTGTGCGTGTATCGGTCAGTTTTGCCTGGACGGTATATTGGGGAGGTCGGCCTTACGATATCTGGTAGCCTTCCACGGCGCGTGACATCTCGACATTATACGTGTGTGTGTGGTTGGCCGGGACGCTTTGGGTGACCGGGATGCGTAGGTCGCTCACGCGATCGCCAAGAAACCATACTATGTGGGTGGCGTTGCTGATTACTCTTGTCTCCACCAGGTCCCCAGTCCCCAGCGGAGAGCAGGTGAGGCTAAGCTGCAGGGTGACGCGATCTGACGGTGGCGCGTTGATGCCGAGCATCTCGTGCGAGTCGAGTTGATCGGTAACCGCGCTGAAGGCTGCGTCGCTCCCGAGCAGACAGCGGTTATCCGCTGGAACAGGGCACGGTGCGGAGGCGCTGGTGGTGTAGGGAAGCCGCGGCCGGACAAACACGGAAGGTGCGATGGATGAGCCGGTGACGTTGCGGGCGTAAAAGTTGGCGACGTAGGTCCGCGCCTGAACGGCGTCGTTATTGAGCTTTGCGGACTGCGCAGCGTACCCGGTCGCCGTGCTGGTGTCGTACTCCCAGAAGCCGCACGCTGCGGCGTCCCCCTGCGCCCGCGCAACAACGGTGCCGTAGGCTTTGTTGGCGACAGAGGAGCTGAGGATGGCCGCCGTTGCAAAGCCTGCTGAGATAACGAGGGCGGGACCCGCAATCCAGATGGTCCGCCACATTGCTTCCTTCCTTCGATTTCCCGATCCTGACCCGGCCCATGCATTGTGGATTTTGAGCGCTTCCCACATGGCCGCCAGCGCGCTGCGGGAATTTCGCAGGCTGACTTGCTGCTGCAGCGCCATGCCGCTGACTGGGCCGTCATTGTTGGCATTCCAAGCGTGGATGACAAACGCCGCGATGTTCCAGAAACTGGCCCCGGCGAGCGTGATCAAGAGGGCCAGTCCCGAGACCAAACGGTTGCCGTAGTCGACGGGCAGTGACAGCGTCCAAGCCTGCGTTAGCGACCCAGAATAATCCCACCACAGTCCATTTGCGATGGCCATTTCTCGAAGGCAGATATGGCATCAAAGGGGTAAGAGGAATGCGTCGAGGTCCAAACGAAAACAGTGAGCCACCCACCAAAGGTAGGTCCCTACCTTATCAAAGGGGCTGCCTCGATGACCCATTTCACAGACCAGCGCATTGGGGTCTAGACCATGCCGAACTCCCCCACACTTTCCCCGGGCCGTGTGCGGCTGAAGGCCCGACTTGGCAGTCCCGGCAACTCATTCAAGTTCAATGAGGAATTGGGACTTCCATTGACGAACAAATTGGTGGAAGCCAAGAAGGAAGATCCAGGCTCTGGTGGCTCAGACGCCCGGACACACACCAGTTTCAGATGCGGCCCGAAGGTGACCGTGACCTGCATTGAACGCGGCTCGGCAGCTAAACAAACCCCTTCCTATCGACGCCACAAACTGCAAGATCGGGATGCTCAGCGAATGGGTGCCAGGACAATAAAAAGAATGCACGCAACGGTAGGTATCGCACGAAGAGCCCCCCTGGCAGTCAGTGAAGAAGGCAGTCAACGTCGACCCCCGATTGGGATGGCTTAAGCTTGTATCCTGTCAGAACGAATGCGGTTGTCAGAACGGATGCGACTACTATGGCCGGACGGATACGGCGACTATGGCCGCAAGCGGCCAATACAATCGATGCTTCCGGTGGTGATTGCTTCACCAGATCCGGCCATGAATTCCGGAACCAGGAGGTACGATTAAGCAT